TTTTTACCATTGGGTAATAATCAACCAAATTTTGCACACTTTCTCATTTATGTGTATTGTGTACATGCTGTCAAACTCGAAGTCATGTTTTTCGATTCAACGAAAATGGAGGTGAACCAACGCGAGTTGAGAGAACAAATTCTTTCCAAACACCTGGAATTTCCTGACCTGTCGCACCGGCAGTTGGGAAAAATGTTGAACATTCACCATTCAACCGTCTCCAGAGTGTTGAAGCGGTTCCAGGAGCGGTTGACGTTGGACCACGGCAAAGGAGCTGGAAGAAAACCGGGACCGGAGAACAAAAAGACGGAGGGAAAGGTGAAGCGGATGATTAAAGCAAATCCCAACGTCTCAAGCCGTGATTTGGCTAAAAAGATCGGCATGTCGCAGAGCTACGTCCAGAATGCAAAGAAGAGAGCTGGACTACATACATACAAGGTACAGAACTTTCCAAACCGCGATGAGACGGCTAAAACTTGGGCACGGAAGCTCTACGAGAAGATGCTGACAAAATATGGCTGCTGTGTGATGGACGACGAAACGTATATAAAAGCCGATTTTAAACAAATTCCGGGGTTGGAGTTTTTCACCGGCAAGAGCAAGTTCGATGTGGACGACAAATTTAAGAAGAAGAAAATGTCGAAGTTCGCCTCCAAATATCTCATTTGGCAGGCCATCTGCTCTTGCGGACTGAGGAGTGAGCCTTTCGTGACAAAGGGCACAGTAAATGGCGAGATCTACAAATCTGAGTGCCTCGAGAAGCGCCTTTCGCCATTCTTGCAGCAGCACGACAAAGCTCCGCTATTTTGGCCAGATTTGGCATCATGTCACTATTCTAAAAGTGTCATGGATTGGTATGAGGCCAAGTCTGTCCATTTTGTTCCAAAGGACATGAATCCGCCAAACTGTCCGGAGCTGCACCCGGTGGAGCAGTACTGGGCAATAATGAAGCGGGAACTTCGGAAGAGCAAGAAGACAGTCAAAGACGAGAAAGCCATGTTAAGAAAATGGAAAAAAAAAAACTGAGAAACTGGTACCGGATGACACTAGACTTTGATGGAGGGCATCAAGCGAAATTGCGTTCAATTTTACACTCAAGGCTCCATCGATTAACTTTTCTTTTAATTTTTGAAGTAAATATATGTATAAAACTACCCTAAAATTTTGGTTTGATTCTAAACATTATAAGAAAATTGGCATAACATTTTCGGTGTCGCAATAATTTCATGTTCGCCCTTTATACATAAAGATGATCTCCTTGGAAGCCTCATCCATTATTATCTATCAGGTTCGAGCATTACGTTAAAAATATTGCATACCCTTCAAGATGCATAATTTACTCCGGTACGACGTCCAAAAACCAAAAAGGAAACTCCCAGTTTTCCAATATGTCTCTCATTATTGAGCTAGGGAGGACGCGTCCGCACACATCAAAATCTAATAGGTTGAATGCTAAAACCTGCATACTCGATCGCAATCGTGACACTACACGTACTCAATCGTACAAACTGAGCAACAAACCATGCGCGTTCGAGGTCACCAGCAAACCAGAGGGAAGCAAGAAAAATTAATAACAAGGAAAATATCCCTCTCCAACGGGGAAGTTTGGCAAAGAGAGATGATCAAACCGATTTGTACCTTCCTAAAGTTGTACTTGCTTGCTTTCTACTCGCTATATGCAATTTTCACACTGCCGTACTCTAACGGAACTATCTATTCCATACTTTCATCTCTTCATCTATCGTGTAAAAATTACCACTTTAGGCTGTTATTTGTAATTAGCATCTTCAACTATGTAAATCGTTGACTTCACGCAGAAGTTATACTAAACATACAGTCAATGTAAGGAAAACACCTTCTAATGGAACGTACTCATCATATAAGTACATCAAAATCGAACACAGTTCGGGAGCACATTCCAGAAAATTTCCCTTATTTTTTTTCTAGCCAAATCCAAAGCTATCCTTTCTACAATTGATTTTTATGGAAATGATGTAATAGTGTGCATGTCCTTAACCTCGGTCCAATATAAGTACCCTTCAATTAATTTTTTTTGTCATATCTTATTTAATAATTGAGCTGCAAACGATATTTACTGGCAACATGCAAGTTAAGATATTGTTATTATTTGGATATTAATTAAGCACAACCGAAAATTGTAAAACTAAAGTTGGCATGAAATTTTTTTAGTCACGTGGATGTAATGTTGGTCTACTGTACTCCAATTTTGTCTATACATGGATGTAACTTTGGCCTATCAACCCTCAATCTACAATGGTCCGGCATGTGAAATCGCGCTTCCTTGGCACTACTTATTGTTCATTGGTAACCAATTTGTTGACGTCACTTACACTTCTCGCGTAAGAACTGATGGGGAAGAAATAGACAGTTTTCTTTCCGGTTGATCCATATAACATAAACCACGATGCTTTTAGAATCAACATAAAAACCAAATAGATAATCTCACAATCACATATATAACGAACTGTCAAGTCTAAAGCAACATGTGAAATGCGCCTATGTTCCATATATATAAACAAGCGTCGATTTATCGCGGATTAAGACTCATTCAGGCAAACCAACAGCAGTATCTGGAAAAAAAAGCGTGAGAAATATTGAGATTGGTGTTGAATTTAATTGTTGAGTTGGTTGTCTTTATTAAGGAGATTGTCAGCCAGACTGGTTAACTGTTGAGATTTAAATAATTAGAATTAAATTGGCGTATGAAACGTGAAATTGGACATGGAAAATAACTGTTATTCATCAGCTGAATTCTCGTTATGTCCTCACGAAATATTTGCTCCAGCACAACGAAATACATCTACATAGGCTCTGTTACAAAGATCGGTGTCATTTTCAAGATAGTAGAATTTGTGAAAGAGAGATTTCATTCATACATGATAGGAAGCTACAATCGCAGATTGAATAATTTTGTGCAACGCTCTGTAGAATATACCCTCCAATGTGGTATATTTGGTTTCACTCAGAGTTGTCAAAATTGAGTCTTCAAATACTTCCATTGAACCGTTCCATTTTAATGTGATGCTGAAGCAGACGACAGTTGCCCAAATTAAGAGTCACTTGAAGTAAACACAAAATTGCGGGTTGCCAAACCTTGCAGAAAAAAAATGTGTTGGCCGTGCAACCAGATTTACTTTTATTCTTTCCTCGCGTCTCTTATATAACATCGTCTCTAGATGCAACCGGTTAATTGTGAAAGGGAAATTTGGTAATGTTTGAGTACTCATTTCTCAGTAATTTATCAATAGATTTTAAACCTATTTATACCGAATAAATCTTTAAAATCTTTAGTTTCATAAGGCTTTAGGGCGCCATAGATTTGAAATCCGCCAATAAATAGCTGAGCTATGATTTCTTAAACATTGCAAGTTTTCCGTTACACATTTGACCAGAGGCATCGTGTTCAGAGTGCTAAGAAGATTTTTATAGAAGGTTTTTTTGGAAGCTAATTCTAGATGCTTACCTGTCGCTTCGCACTTCTAATTAAAAAAAACACGGGTATGTCATTATATATAAGTAGCTACGTAGTAATTGAACATCTTTTCAAGGTTTATGGAACAAAGTCAAAAAGTTTGTGTCCAAAACATGAACAGTATATATTTTTAAGAGCGCGAACTTGATTTACTATTTATCACTTTCATTAGTTTAATGTTCATTGCTGAATGTTTTATGGATCATTTGCAATATGTGTATGGGTAATTCTTACAATTTCAATGCTCGTTCATTAAATATTTAGCGCTATTTTTTTACAATTGTGTTGCTAAATTTTACTGAAAATATGGATAATATTCATATTTTTTATGGACCATTCACACATTTTAAGGGATTTTGACTGGGGTTTTATGGAACATCTGGGTGTTTTTAAGGAGCGCTTTTAAATTTGTTATGGATCATTTATTGGTTTTTATACTCAAAAGTATGGTTGCAAATCAAATGTGCAGGAAGGCAGCTTCCACACTTAAGTAGGATATCGCACCCATTCAACACACAAGAACCGGGACCAATGGCTTAAACTTCCCCCTTCCGATGGAAGACCTGACCAGAGATTTTTATGCCTCAGAAAAATCCCACCGACCTCAGCTGGGATTGAACCCAGACCGATTGGGGTGCGAAAGCAGTCACGCTTATCACTACTCCACCGGCGCCGGCTAGAATTTCTAGGATCTTGATCCACTTGTTTGAAGCTCTGGTAAATGTTGATTGATAAGCTCCCATTTAATCTAATCTCGATGGTCCAGAGTTAAACGTGAATATAAGTCAATCGTCTAATTTGTAGGTTGTGTCAAATTAGCATTGTATTGTTGTAGAAAAGGTCTTCCACTCAAGACAAACATGTTTTTTTTTTTTTTAGTTTATCCAAGGTACCCAGTCTTTGCAATTCAATACATTTGACTCTCGGTTGCTAAAACACAAAACTGTTCGAACCAAACGAGAGGTTACGGTATATCCAGATTCTACACACACAACACCCGAGTGCACTAGAAGCACGTAACAACTGCTGTGAATGCAATCATCGAAGGCTTTTTCCCAGAGGAAACCTACACGTGATAAAAACATTCAATTTTATGTGCTCTGCTTTTCCCACCGGCAGTAAACAACTGCTACGTTCCATGAAGACTGCCATGTTCTGCCACAATGAATGCATTGGTTTTTTACTTTCTCATTATTGCTGATGCAACACCTGTATTAAGTGTGTCCTTTGCAATTGTGACCATCGGAAACTACCATTAACAATCACAAGATTCTGAAAACCTCACGTCCTTCGATGTATCCTTGTAGTCAATAGTAGGTCCTTGGAGAAAATGTCTTTGCTATATTCTCGGAAGTAACTGATGTAAATGCTGATAATGAATCTGACGTTCAGGATTGTTATTGGTCAAACAATTATTAATAGGGTAATCAAACTGCCCCTTTCTCAGCACTAGAAATGATTGGCAGAAAACCTAATTGCCCTACTATCTCATCTTATTCCATTGCAGGGTCGGCGAGAACGGAGGCTGGGATCAGGTGGCACCAATCCGAACGAAGAACAATGGTACTTCATATCAGGTGAGCGGCCTGTTGCCCTTCACCGTCTACAGTTTCCGGGTAATTGCCATCAATGAGCTGGGCCGAAGTCCACCGTCCAAGGAATCGTACTACTTTGTCACACTCAGAGAAGGTAAGTGAAGGCGGCTTCTTGCATTCGATGGGGACCAAATAACAAGCATTTAAAAGCCTGTTTATTGGATGATTGCCTCAGTCATAAACATTGAGACAAACAACTTCTTCTGTATTTTTAACGCAAACGACGATGGAACTGTCGTGTCCTCTATGCATGTCTTACGGCTCAACATCGTCGTCTGTTTCACAGCGAGTAACAATTTCAATTTATGCAAATTAATTCCGTAATTACGATAAGACAATTTGCTTCACACGGCTCAGCGACAACGCTACGGTTGCGTGCTTCAGTTTTGACTTCATCCTGAAGAGAACAGGAAGGCGGTAAACCTGTAGAACACGACTCTCATGAGACAACATCAGCGAGCATCTTCTTGTTATCGATGTCATAAAAATGTAGGAACAATACGTTGCCTGGCAGCCTTTCCTAGGCAAAACAAACAAGCTCATTGTTTGCCCGATTTGTTCCCCGAAATTGTGCAGCTGGAATTGAACAAAACATATTTTTCCACATTCAGGCTATCCATAAGCCTCGTAGCAGGGTGACAGGTTTGACGAGTAGGTATGTTTGTACGGCTCATATAAATTATCGAGAATTTTTATGAACGATTGTCTTCGCAGAAGGAGAATGGTCCAAAATCTCTGAAAACTGTCTACACAGAAAAAAATCAATTTTAATATTACATCCAAGAGGATGCTCTTCAACCATGTGAAAAATCGCATGTAATTTTTATGACCACAGAAATAAACAAATGCAGTAAAAGCAGCGTAATGTCAGTTCATGCACTGTATTTATGATAATTTTGTCCTTTTTGGCAAGTAATATGACACCACATTTTTGACATGATTGAAGTGCATCCTCTTTGATGTAATATCAAAATTATTTTTTTTACTAATTTATGAATACGGCATTTCAACGGCGCCGGTGGTGTAGTGGTAAGCGTGATTACTTCTCACCCCAGCAGGCCTGGGTTCAATCCCAGTTGGCGCCGCCGCGATGTTCTGAGGCATAACATCTCTGATCACGCCTTCCTTCGGATGGGAAGTAAAGCCGTTGGTCCCCGGTTCATGAGTTGATGGGTCGATAGGGTAGGGTCCAGGTGTGGGAGCTGCCTTCCTGGCACGTCGGTAGCATTGGTGCTCAGCACGGAAAACAAGATCGACGGAAAAAACAAACCGAAAAAAAAAAAAAAAAAAAAAAATACGGCATTTCCAGCAAATGATTTCTTACAAATGCGTGAACATTTACAAAAACTCATTTAACTTCTACCTTTTGTTTGTAGTAAAGTAATATACTCGCACCCAGTTGAGCCAGTTCGTTTTTTTTTTTTACATTATACATATTTATTTTTATTCAGTTGTTTTGTTTTACCATAGTTTTACATTGTAAGTAATCAACATTAGTTATTTATTCTTAACTAAAATTACTGAAAGCCATAGGCTAATTTTTGCTAATTGGTATTTATCATTTTACAGTGTAAACATATGTTCTATTTTAAATTTTTAAATTTTAGATTTTTAATTTCCTATCTTACTACATTAAATCCTAACTAAACCTACTATTTACAAAATTATGGGAAAAGATTTCTAATTTTTTCGTACTCTGGTCGATTTGATCGATATTTGCCAGCCGATGAACGTCGGCTATTCGTGTGTGCGGAGGCAGATTCAGAATCATCTTCAGGAACTTGTTCTGCAGGACTTGGAGCTTCTTCCGATGTGTTTTAGCACAACCCTTCCGTACCGGAGACCCATACTCCAGCATAGGTGCAACAATCTGCGCGTAGACAGCCAGCTTGTTGACGGTGGATGCTTTCGAGCGACGGTTGATGATCGGATACAGACGTTTCAGCATGATGGTGCTTTTTTTGACTCGGTCTTCCACGAGCGACCGGAAGAGGAGCTTACTGTCGAGAATCAGGCCAAGGTAGCGTACCTCGGATGACCACTCATTTTCAGGGGTTAGAACCTTTATCTTTGATGCTATGCGGAAACACAATGGTTTGCGTTTTGACCGCGTTCACACATATCTTCCAGTCGGTGAGATATATGGTGTAGGCATCCAATCCGTTTCGGAGCTTCGATACGAGAGTGCGCATTACCCGTCCCTTGTAGCTCATTGCCGAATCGTCAGCAAACAGCGACAGTGTTCCACCTTGCGGCAGTGTCGGTATTTCCGATGTGTACAGATTGTACAATATGGGTCCCAGGATGCTTCCTTGAGGGATACCAGCGGGTACATCATACGGTTCCGAGAGTGCACTGCCTACGCATACTTGAGACGTCCTGCCGTCGAGGTAGTCCGAGATGATCTTTACCAGGTAGCTGGGGAAACGAAATTGCAGAATCTTGTGCACCAAGCCATCGTGCCACACGAATTGCTTTTCGATGTCCAGTATCGCCATGACCGTTGTCTTCAAGACCGACTTCGCCTGATTGATGAGGTTTGAGACACGCTTGAGTTGGTCCACCGTCGAGTGACCTCGTCGGAATCCAAATTGATCGTCCAGTAGGTAACTTACATGTCACCGGGGTTGTCGGGATGAACCGTTGTTCCGCTTTGCCTAAGTCAGCGCTCTCCGCTTGCAACACGCCGTCGATTTCTTCCGTCGTCGTTAACGCAGGATTTTCGACCACTCGATCCTCCATAAACCGCTGGAGTTGAGGCCAGTTCGCTCGATGATAGTTTCGCCTACGATGCTGCTGACGTTGGTTGATGGTTTGATTCATCTCGAAAACCACAGGTAGAGAAGATCGATTTCGGGTAGTTGCTTCTTTTCCTGCTGTCTCGGCTGGCTTGCTTTCTTCCGCAGCGCGATGAATTCGGCCCGCTTGGGACACGATTGACTAGTAGATGTATGGGCATTCCCGCAGTTGACACAGGTTGGCTGCTTGTCCTTCATGTCCACGATGCGTTGGGCAGTGACATGTTGTTCGCTGCATTTGGAGCAACGCGATTTCATATGGTAGTTGCGCGTGCCATGTCCGAAATTCAAGCAGCTGGTACACTGCGTCACTTCACGGGGGACCGGCTTGTACCGCTCCCACTCGACGACGACACTGAGCAGCATTCGGATGCTTTGAAGCTGCCTCATGTTTGTGGATCCGCCAACCAAATGCACCAGGTACAGTTGGTCGCGATACTTGATCGCCTCGTTGTGGCGTTTGATCACGAAAACCTTCACGGGTTGAAGGTTGTTGCGTTTCAGCTCTTCTTCCACAACCGAAACATCCAGAATGACCTTGAAGGGCTTCGTTGACGGCACGTCGTGGGTGAAATATTCCACCTTCCAGAGTTGCAGTGTCTCCGCCATGGATTTATAATGTTCCGCCGAGGGGATGGTGATTTTCACACCATCAGCACAGAAACGGAATTCGGCCCGTAGCCCTTTACGGACTACCACATTCAGATTGTCAAGCAGCTCGCGTTGCTGTCGCTTGACATAGAGAGGAGGCAACTTCCCTTTTTTCTCAATGCTTTCAAGCCTTTCGCCATCATCCTCCTGGAGCAGCGAGAACTGGTTGAGGGCCAGCACCCGCTTCGTATGTCTGGCATCGACATTGTTATCCACCGTCCGCTTGCCGCTTGTCTTCTGGCTACCGCTTGGGCCCGGTTTACCCTTGCTTGGGTTGAAAAAACTTGCGAAAACACGGGAGAAAAGAATACTTGCGTTCGACCACACCGAGTGCTGATCGTAGTATGACTGATTGAATGATGAAGTTGACCCAGTTGACCAGTGCTTCGAATTTCTCCTACATTTTGACGTAGGACTACGTCTTTTGGGAATGGTGCCAATCCAGGGAAATGCAACGAAAATTGGTCAGACTTTAAATACTATTAATTTGGACAATAATCAATGGATTTTGATGTTTTGTATGTCGATCGCTTCGACAGTTTTATAAGATTTGTGTGGTATGTCACTCATTATAAATGTTAATTATTTAAATAGCTAAAAATTACTAAAAAAAAACATATGGAAACATTAAAATTTATCATACATTTTCTCCGACCGCAAATTCTTCGCAAGGTGCTCACCCCTAACACAGCCATCAGAAAGTTGGTTCCTAACAACGCAAGCCGAAGCCACATAATCATTCATTCAGCGTTGCACATTGGGCGGGTCGACCTCGAACGGGTTTGCAGCAGCGTGGACATCGTAGCATTTCTAGACTAACATTTGAAAAGGGCGGAATTCCAAAATCACCATATTGAGAAAATCGCTTGCGAATTTTAAAGACCTAAAAATTAATCCTATTTCAAGACTTTCCATTTTCTGGATGATTTTAAAAGCTTTACATATAGTAAATAGTGTTATATATCATCGTACATCACTAAAAACTCTAAAAAAAGTATTGTATGCCGTGAAATTGAGCAGAAAACATCATACGCCCTGATAATTTCTTACATGTTGTTACCCCCCGGATCTTCCACCCTTTGAACTGCCAACACTGGTGATACGCCGTGGAAATACATCCTCGGGATTTTTTGTTTGTTGTTGCGCCTTGGTTCTTCGTTCGCAAATTTTGCGAGAGTGGAATTACGTCCGGAGAGTTTTTGGTGTTCTTTTTGTTCGTTGTTAACACGTGAAATATCAATCGGATGCATTTCAAATGAATCGGGCGTGACTAGTTACTACAGAATAAAAGCGTTTTGCATATTAAAACAATATAATTCGTAGTTTTGGTGCAAGGCGTAATAACCAGATGTATCATAGAGTTGAAAATTGGAAATACGCCATGTAAAAGGAAACGTTTTTGATGATTTAAAATTATATTTGCTTCTACTTTTTCGTGTTTATCGAGTAGTTTGTGAGCTGTTCTCTCCATATGTGGCAAAATATGGTTTGTTTACATTTTGGCTCTTCCGCCCCTTTCAAATGTTAGTCTAGATTTGTTCTATTCATTCACCTACATCAGCTAAATACAGAAGAAAAGGAGGGCATAGCATGAAAATCCAAATGCTTAAGTAAGCGAAACGTAGAAAGTTTGACTGCAGTGTTC